AGGGAAAGTAAGAAAGAACCCCACCATGTCCAGGACTCGAACTGTGGTTAGCCATATGGGAGTGTACAGTGCTTTAACCACCGTGCCACCTGCTGGTCCGCAAATTACATTTTTTAAACTATAGAAGATAAACATCAAACACCAGAAACAGGGACCAGCAGATAGCGTAATGGCTACGTTGTTAGACTCTCATCTTTTTTTTTAATCTTTATCTTTTTTAAAAAATAATATAATGTGTTATTATTATTGTTATTATTATTATTTGCTATAGGGCATGTGTGCTCACTCATGAGAGAGAGAGAGAGGGGGAGAGAGAGAGAGAGAGAGAGAGAGAGAGAGAGGAAGCAAGCCACCAAGGTTCAGACTCAAACCATAGTCAGCCATGTGGCAGTCCAGTGCTTCAGCCACCACACCACCACACCACCTGCTCTCCTCATAAGCTTTTTTTTTTTTTAAGAATTATTTAATTTGAGACCATTAGTTAGTGTACTAGCTATGTCTCTGGACTCCCATGTAGTCAACCGTGGTTCGAATCCCAGACCCAGTGGCTTAAACTCAGCGCCGGGCAGGTGTACATGCATGCCCAAGATCCTGAGAGGAGAATGGAGGAGAAGGAATTGTAGCATGGCCATCCCCCCCGGGGGGGTGATTTCTCACTTTCTCTCTCTCTCTCTCTCTGTCTCTCTGGCGAGTGCACATGCCCTATAGCAGAAACCTCTTCAAGAAAAGATTATTTAATTTAACTTTATTTTATTTATTTTAATTTGACCAGAGAGAGACATGTGGGACTCTAGCGCCCTTAACTATTATGCCACCTACTGACCCCTCCCCATAAGCGTTTAAATTTAATCTTTGGGGGGGTTAGCAATTGGTAATGGCTATGTGGCTGGACTCTCATATAGTTGACCGAGGTTTGAGTCCTGGACCCAGTGGCTTAAACTCACACCAGGCATGTATGCATGCGTGCTATAGATCCTGAAAGGAGAATGGAGAAGAAGGGATTGCGGTTGTGGCCATCCCCCCAGGGGGGTGATTTCTCACTTTCTGTCTCTCTGTCTTTCTCTGTCTTTCTGGTGAGTGCACACGCCCTATAGCAAACACTTCTTAAAAAAAAAATTTTTTTTAAGGAGACATTTTGGTTAGGAATTTAAAGAGATGGAGAAAGTTTTATTTTGAAAAGTATTGGCCAGGGACCCCCATGTACTTGACTCCGGCTTGAGTCCTGAACCTGGTGGCTTAAACTCATGCCAGGCACATGGGTGTGCATGCCCAAGATCCTGAGAGGAGACTGGAGAAGAAGGGATTGCAATGTGGCCATCCCCTCAGGCGGTGATTTCTCGCTTTCTGTATCTCTTTCTGGCAAGCGCACAGGCCCTATAGCAAAAAATCCTTCCCCCTAAAAAAGTATTTATTGGCCAGACTCCTTTAGATTTACAACCTTCTGTCTTGATAATTTTGCTACAGCACATAACCTGGGGTCCAACTCACTTTCATCCTAATCAAAAAGTAGTTTCTGGGAACCAGCAGTTAGCGTAATGGCTATGTCGCTGGACTCCCACGTAGTCGACCGTGGTTCGCGTCCCAGACTCGGTGGCTTAGAACTCATGCCGGGCGCGTGTGCGTGCGTGCCCAAGATCCCGAGAGGAGAATGGAGGAGAAGGGATTGTGGCGTGGCCATCCCCCCTGGAGGGTGATTTCTCGCTTTCTGTCTCTCTGTCTCTGTCTGTCTGGCGAGCGCACGCGCCCTATAACAAAAACCTCTCCAAAAAAAAGTAATTTCCAAAGATTCGATTTTTTTTTTTTTTTTTTGCTATACGGTGAGTGCACTATACTTTATGTATTACTTTATGGTAATCTCTATCTACTATAGAAAAGGTTATTGTATTTGTTTTGATTCCTTTTTTTAAAAAAGAATTATTTTACTTAACTTTATTTATTTATTTTTCATTTTTACCAGAGAGGGGCAGAAACGAGAGAGAGAGAGAAAGAAAGTGAGAAAGTAAGCCACCAGATCCAGGACTTGAGCCACGACTGGCCACGTGGGAGTCCAATGCCCTTAACCACATGCCACCTGCCAGCCCCTTGATTCCATTTTTTTTAAGAATTACTTACTATTTTATTGAACTTTATTATTTATTTATTTATTTTTAATTTGACCAGAGAGTAACAGAGTGAGGGGGTAAGGAGTGAGAAAGCAAGCCGCCAGGTCCGGGACTAAACCACAGTCAGCCATGTGGTAGTCCAGTGCCCTTAACCACCACACCACCTGCCGGCCCTGTGATTCCGTTTCTTTAAATACTGTTTTGCCTTTTATCTGTACTACTTTCTCCTACTTAGTAATCACTCAACTGTTTGATCATTTCCTGTTAACAAAGCTTTTAAAGGGAAGATTAAGACTATGGAAGGTTAGGAAATACACTAAATTACCTTGGCATTGGCTTTGCTAGTGAAAAGAAACTGGTTTTTAAAGCAGATACCTGTAATTGGTGCTAACAAAGGGATATAGTGGTTGTTTAAAGGTATTCTGTCTCTTTCCGTCCTAAGCCGGAACTTTATATTCTATCCACTGATGGAATATACGCCTCTCAGTGTATATTCCACTGTCAAAGTTCCCTAACTCTGAAAGGTAGGCAAGGAAACTGACCACCTTTCTTGAAGAATGTTCTCATCTGGCTCCGTTTTCTTTTGACATAGCACTTTTTTTGTAGGTAGTTTCCCCTTTAATCTCATCACTGATCTATAATAGAACTGTTCATTTAAGAAAATTTGGAGGGGCCAGCAGTGGTTAAGGTGTTGGACTCCCATACAGTTGACTCTGGTCTAATATTGGACTTGGCAGCTTAAAACTCAAGCTGGGTGCAAGTGTGTGCATGTCTAAAATCCCGAGAGGAAAAGGGATTGCGGCATGGCCATCCCCCCTCTGGGGGAGATTTCTTACTTTGTCTCTGTCTCTCCCTTGTCTCTCCAGCAAGCCCACGCACCCCATGTCAAAAATCTTTCCTAAAAAAATAAATAAATAAAATTTGGGATCAGCTTGTGGCGTGGTAGTTGAGGTGCACATATGCACATGTGCCCACTGAGAATCCTGACAGGAGGAAGAAATGAAGGAGAAGAGATTGCAGTATGATCATCCCCGAGTGGTGCTTTTTCACCTTCCCTCTTTCTCTCTCCAGCAAGCATATGTGCCCTATGGCAAAGCTTTTAAAAAGATTTTAGTATTAATGTAGATAGATTTTATTCTCATTTTTGTTATTTCACATATGCTTATTTTTAGTGTTGTGTGGATAACACTTTTTCTAAAATGTCTGTGTCATAATTAACCTATTTTAAATGGTTATTTTATTAAGTAAGACAATTTTGTAATTAACTTGACTGTAGATCTTTCCATTGTAGTGCTAAAGTTCCAGCTATTTTATTTTTTAATAATTATTTAATTTTATTTATTCAATTCATTCATTTTAATTTGATCAGAGAAGGAGAGGGGGAAAATGAGAAAGCAAGCCATCAAATCTGGGACTCGAACCGTGGTCAATCATGTTGGAGTATCCAGCGCCTCAGCCACCACACCACCTGCTGGTCCCCACTATTTTCATTTAATTAAGGCACTAGCTGAAGTTAGAATTTTTCAGTAATAATTAAGTCCTTATTTTCATAGAAAATGTGTAGAAATTTCTTGAAATAGAGTTTTGCTTTCTTTTAAGGATTATTTAATTTTATTTATTATTATTTTATAATTTGTTACAGGACATATGTACACATGAGAGAGAGGGAGATAGAATGTAATCCGCTAGGTCCGGGACTCAAACTGTGGTCAGCCATATGGTAGTCCAGAGCTTTAACCACCATGCCACCTGCTGGGCCCTTGAGCTTTGCTTTTATTTTAAAACATAAGGCATTTTATAAGTGTCAGAGGCTTGAAGTGATATAACCAACACAATGTTGTCGGCAAGCTGTCATGACTCCTGGTATTTTTTTTTTTTCCGGTGATGGGGAAAGGACACCTAGTACGTTTTTGTGACTGTTCAGAATGTTAGATGTGTGTTAGTATCTTATATGAGTACTATGTTGAAAACATTTCCATGGCTAACCTTGTCATTTTTGGTAAATCATTTGAATTTTAGTGAGTGTTAATCAGATATAAATTGGAGTGCAGGTGAAAGTTAAAGAAGTATAAAATCATGTCTTATTTGTTCTTCATTCATTGAACAAATCTTATCTGCCACACATTATGCGGAATTTGGGGGATATCGATAGGAATAATTTCTCTCCTGTTAACGGACACTCAGAATCTTACTCAGTCTCTACTGGGAGAATGAGGAAACAAACTATAATATTAATGCTACATAATGGTAAGTCTTGAGGTGGTAGTTTGAACTATGTGTTCTGAGATGGAGAAGGGAATTCTTGAGTTATTTTTTAAAGGACTACAAATAATTAATTACTCAATAAGGGTAGGGATGTGATAGACATTGTCAGCTGAAAAAGAGTATGTATGAAAATTGGAAAGTTTCCTGCAGTGTTACTATAATTATGGTTATGCCTTATTAAAAATTGTTAAATTGAACAGAATTGTGGATTTAATTTGCTAGCTGCATGAGACACAGTTCAAATGTTTTAATTCTGGTTAGAAGTTAGATAGGAAAAAAAAAACTCTTTCCTTCAAGAGTAGGAGTTAGGAGCCTTTTTCCTGATCGAGGATTTCAGGTGTATTAGAAGAATACCTCCCCAGGAAATGAAAATGATGGCAAGATTACAAAAATACCTGACCTCGGGACCAGAGTAGGTTGGGATGTTGGTGCTGCAGTCCCACATGACTGACCATGGTCCAGGTCTTGGACCTGATGGCTTACTATCTCACTTTCTCTCTCTCTGTGTCTCTCTTTGGTAATAAATAAATAATAATAATAAATAAAATAAAATTAAGTAATACTAAAAGAAAATATTGTGACCTTGATAAGCCTTAGTATTTGCGAAGGAAAGAAGTTGTCTTCACAGAAGAGGTGTAATTGTTTTATTCTGTGTCCATGAACAGCCAAGAAAATACACTAGTTGGTATCCAGAAGTAAGCCTTATTATCTGCTAATATTGAAAAAACAAGGGACCAGCAAGTGGTGGTGTGGTTGGGGTGGTGCTGGATGCCCACATAGCCAACTGCTGTTTGAGTCCTGGAACTCACTTTGAGGGGAATTCACTTTCTCTCTCTTTCTCTCTCTCTCTCTCTGGTGAGTGCACATGCCCTATAGAAAATTAAATTAAATTAAATTAAAATAATAATAAATCTTTAAAAAATTATTTATCAATGAAATTATGTTTCGTTCTTGATGGTTCTGTCAGTAAGTTAGCCCCCTGGAACTGGTCTGGGAAATAAACTACAGCACAATTTGGCGGGTATGCTAGCCAAAGTCATATGCAAGAGGCATTTTCCTTTCACCTGACCCTGTAAGTTGATGATCATGTCTTGATTTTCCTGTATTATTCAGTTATGACTGGTTGGGAACCTTTAGGGGATTAAAGCAGTTCAGTTGTGTGTGACTGTGTCTCTCCATAATCCTATTCAGATTCTTGTGATCTTGTCTTGTTTTCTCTTTGTCATACGAGTGTTGTGCTGCATAAATATTTCCACATTGTTCTGGAATGTAGGTTTTTTTTTTTTAATTACAGTAATTCTTTGTACTAATTAAAAAATAATTCTAGAGAAATTATAGTCAAGGAGGTTCTTTTGTGGAGAGTCTATTGTCCGTTCAACATAATTTATTAAATGTCTTATATATGCCAGGTAGTGCTGTAGGTATTGAGAATACATCACTGAATAAGACAGACTTAAATACTTGCCTGCAGGAGCTTACATTCCACTGGGAAAAAATATAATTAAAAAGTCAATGATCTAATAATGATAGAAGGGAAACAAACGATTGATAGTTATATTGGAGTACTGCAGCAAGGGTGGGCTGGTGATTTTAAATAGGGTAGTCAGGGTAAGCCTCACTAAATAGGTAACATTTGAGCAGAGACTTGAAGGAGGTGAAGGACTGAGTTGCATGAATCTCTGAGGGAAGAACATTCCAGGTAGAAGGAACAGCCAGTATAGAATATTTGAGGTGGATTGAGCTTATCATTGTTGAGAACAGAGGTCATCTTGACTTAGTGTGGTAAGCCAAAAGATGACTGCTAGTAGATGAGGGCGGAGAGGTTGTGGGTGCTGAGGAGGCCTTCTGGGCCACCGTGAGTACTTCAGCTTTTACACCAAGCATAACTGAAAATACGCCCTATTACTTCAAGTGGACTGAAGTAGCCATTCCTTCTCAGAGATAGAGGGTCAGGAAAAGGTAAGCAGTCAGAGAAGGAATTTTTTGCTATTTCTAATTTTAGGATAGTACAAAGTAATGTGTATCCACATAATAAGATTATGCCAAAACAATTAATAAAGTTCTTTGCTGATATTTTTTACTTTATTTTTGATTATAGGGACTTTCAGTTACCTTGATGATGTCCCATTTAAGATAGGAGACAAATTCAAAACACCAGCTAAAGTTGGTCTACCTATTGGCTTCTCCTTGCCTGATTGTTTGCAGGTTGTCAGAGAAGTACAGGTAAGTGGTGAATTTTAGTTAATATTTAGTGCATTTAAAGAGTAAGAGTTTGATGTATAGTGAAATAGACAAGAACTATTTTTACATCTTTTATTTTTCTTTTAGCTCCTGGTACTGCCTGGCTTATGTTATACATACACACTTGTGCATGCACACACACACACACACACACACACACACAGATTTTGTGTAATGTTAGATTGTACATTCATGGGCACTTTTCCTTGTACAAAACAATGGTAATCTCCATTACCCAATAACTTGTTATTCACCTTTTTCCCCCTTCTTCTGTATTAATATCCTCATTGTCTTCATAGTCACTGAAGTTTATATATATTTTTCTTTTACTTTATCTCACTCTTATAGTTCAGCCTTACTTTATTCACTTGGGCTGTTGCAGGAGTCTCTTTACTTTGTAATAGTTGGCTATTTTCTTTCCTTTTTTTAAAGAATTATTCATCTTTTTTTTTTTTTTTTCTTTTAGAGGTTTTTGTCTTAGGGTACATGTGCTTGCCAGGTAGAGAAAAACAGAGACAGTGAGAGAGAAAGTGATAAATCACCCCCTCCCCCCAGGGGGATGGTCACGATGCAGTCTCTTCTCCTCTGTTCTCTCAGGATTTGGGGCATGCATGCATGTACACATGTCTGGTATGTTTTTCAAACTGCCAGGTCTGGAACTTGAACCACACTTTTGGCTTTATTGGATCTAGCCACCTTAACCACCACTCCACTGGCTGTTCCTTAGTCCCTCTTTCAATTACATTTTTATTTTATTTATTTATTTTAAGAAACATGGTCTTTGCTGTGTTGCCCAGGCTGGCCTTGAGTTTATGAGATCCTCCTATCTCAACCTCCCATGTAGCTGGGACTATAGGCATGTGCTACTGTGCCCAGCTTGTTATAGCCTCTTTAATTGGCCTGTCCGCCTACACTTTTCTTTGTATTTTTCACATTGGTTATAGAGTATTCTTAAAGTTTTAAATTGTCACACCCCAATTCAGAACTGTTGAGAAATGTGTATCGATTTACCAGTCCTTATTGAAATAAGTCCAAACATAAGGTAACAGCAAAGTACCCTAGCTTATCATCTCCTTCATGCTCCCTGTAAACCAGCATACTGGCAATTTATTAAACATACTTTGAATAGTACATGCCTGTACTGTGCCTTTTATACATGAGCTGTTATCTGTGCCTGAAATATTCTTCTCTTTCTCACTATACTAAAAGCTATTTGTTAAGGTCTGTTTATTCTCCTGAACTGTGTTTAAATTCTGTTTCAAGGACCTTTTTTCCATCTCTCTCATCTTTAAAGCTTAGTTATGTATGAAAGTACCAAATTAACTTCTTTTATTTTTTTTCTTTTTCTTTTTTTTTGAAGAGGTTTTTGCTATAGGGTGCGTGCGCTTGCCAGACAGACAGAGACAGAGAGACAGAAAGTGAGAAATCCCCAGGGGGAATGGCCACGCCGCAATCCCTTCTCCAATCTCCTCTCGGGATCCTGGGCACACATGCACATGCGCCTGGTGTGAGTTTAAGCCACCGGGTCCGGGACTCGGACCGTGGTCGACTACATGGGAGTCCAGTAACATAGCCATTATGCTAACTGCTAGTCCCTCAAATTAACTTCTTGAAAGCAGAAAGTACTCCTGTGTTACTTCCTTATTTTCAGTATACATTTTTGGAATGCCTCCTTTGGAAAAGTGCTTTGCTGATTTCTGGGGATAGAGATAAATGCCCTTAAGGTGCTTCCCGTTTAGAGGAGTTACTTAGAAAAATAAAAATGTACGGTACTCAGATACTTCTTCCTGTGACTTAAGATTTTTTAAAGTACAACTTCTTGGCAAAGTTTTGTTTCTGGGGATTCACTAAGGCATCACCGTGATTCTGTGAAAAAGTTTTATTTTCCAGTCTGTGTGTCATAAGTTCTCATACTTTTTTCTTCTTAAATAATAGCTTTGTTGATGTATCATAAAAATTACTCTTTTAAATTATGGACTTCTGGGTTTTTCTTATATTCACAAGGCTGTGTAAACATTACCACTAATCACAGAAGTTTTTTATTACCCTCAAAAGGAACCCCAGGGACCATCAGTTGGTGTAATGACTACGTCGCGGGACTCCCATTTAGTTGATTGTGGGTTCAAGTCCCAGACCCGGTGGCTTAAATTCATACTGGGCATGTGTGCATGTGTGCCCAAGATCCCGAGAGGAGAATAGAGGAGAAGGGGTTGCAGTGTGGCCATCTCTACTGGGAGGTGATTTATTGCTTTCTGTCTCTCTCTCTTCTTTCTGGTGAACGCACACACCCTATAGCAAAATCCTCTCCAAGAAAATAAAAAGAAAGAAACACCATATTCATTAGGGTTCCCTCCCACCTGTTCCTGGTAATCAATAGTCTTTCAATTTCTGTGGGTTTACATACTCTGGCCATATCATATAAATGGAATCCTACAATATTATGTAAATTTTATGACTGGTTTATTTCACTTAGCATAATGTTTTCAAGGTTTATCTATGTCATATGAATGAAGTATTTGTACTTCATTTTTATGGGCCAAGTAATGTTATATTCTGTTGAATGGATAATACCACATTTTGTTTATCTGTTCATCAGTTGATGAACATTTTGGTACCTTCTACTTTTTGTCCATTATGATAATGCTGCTGTGAACACTTGAATACAGGTTTTTGTGTGGATGCATGTTTTCAGCTTTCTTGGGTATATTCGTAGAAGTAGAATTGCTATGTCATATGGTAACTCTGTGTTGAACATCTTGAGAAACTGACAGACTGTTTTCCAAAGTGGCTAAATCCTCTTTCAATCCCAAAGTACTGCACGAGGGTTCCATTTTCTCCTTGTCCTTGCCAAGTTTTTTTTTTTTTTTATTTTAACTTTTTAATTTTATACATCTTTGGGGTTGTGAAGTTGTCTGACATTATGGTTTTGATTTGCATTTCCCTAATGTCTAATGATGTCAATCATCTTACGTATTTTGATATTAATTGATAATTTTGCTATGGAGACTTTATTAGACCCTGGAAGAGAGAGAGATGTACCTTATAAGTAGGTAAGGTAAATTTTCAAGTTTGTACTAATTCTGTTTGTCTGATAATTTTTTTTTTAATTGAAAACAACAGATAGTTGGGACCAGCAGTTGTTGTAATGGCTGTGTCGCTGGACTTCCATGTGGTTGACCACAGTTTGAATCCCAGACACGGTGGCTTAAATCACGCTGGGCACATGTGCATGCGTGCCCAAGATCCCGAGAGGAGAATGGAGGAGAAGGGGTTGCAGCGTGGCCATCCCCCTTGGAGAGTGATTTGTCGTTTTCTGTCTGTCTCTTTCTGGCGAGCATCTGCGCCCTGTAGCAAAAACCTCTCCAGACACATACACCAAAAAAAAAAAAGAAAAAGAAAACAGATAGTCATTAAATACCTCTCTGTGTGCACGATACTGTTAGCGATATGATTAAAAACCACCTCTGTTGAGGCCAGCAGGTGGCATGGTGGTTCAGGTAATGAACTCCTACTTGGCCAACTAAGGTTTGGGTTTTGGACCCAGTGGCTTGAAAATCATGCCAGGCATGTGTGTGTGTTGCCCAAAATTCCAATAGAAGAATGGAGGAGAAGATTGCAGTATGGCCATCCCCCTAGGGGGTAATATCTCACTTTTCTTCTCTCTGTCTCTGTCTGTCTATCTCTCCCATGAGCGCATATGTCCTATGGCAAAAACCTAAAATGAAAAAGAAGGTGAAAAAAAGAAAATACCTCTTTCTTGTTTTTAATATTATTCATTACTTCATTGATATATTCAGAAAACTTGTTTTAAATTCCAAATTGTTGCCATTATAGGCTTTGCTGGGAATTTCCTGTTTGTTTGATCAGTGTGAAGCACTGATAAATGCATAGTATTGGGCTCATTGTGCTCATAGTACCTGCTAATAAAAAAGGAGACCTAGGCACTAAGCTCCATTCTTGTGTGAGCCAGTTGAAATCTTCAGTTTTTTTTCTCTGATTGCACATAGCATCATTAAACACTGGCTGGTGCTGGTCCCCCCCACACACCTAGAGAACAGTCAGGCACAGAGCCCTAGACGAGGTGGCTTGAAGCTTCTCAGAAGTTTGTCATTTTTTTCCTTACAGGACAGTACAGAATCATGTTTCAGCTAAAGTATCATCAGAATGAGCTACTAAAACATACATAGCCTTTATTGTGTCTAGAGTTGTGAATGTGATTCCATCGAATGTGGTGATAGTGACCTCAGTAGTGTAGGGTGACCTTAGTGTCATGGTTTAGAATAGACATGAACTGGAATTGCCATGTAATCTAGTACAGTTTTCTTAAACTCTCCAAGCCTCCAGTTCTTAATCTATAAAATTATGATTATTAGCTTTAAAGTTGTTAAAAGGATTAGGGAAAATAATGCGTTTATATGTTTACTCTAGTTTCTAGTACTCTGTAACTGCTAGATGATGTTGTAATTTATTAATATACTCTGAAAACTCTTATTTTTTTACTTTAATATTTCTACTCCCTCCCCCACTTCTTTTTTCTCTATCTTTATTACTTTTTAAAAAAGTTTATTTAGTTATTTATTTCGAGAGAGAGAGACAGCGAAAGAGAGAGACAAGTACCCTTAAAAGGGTTCTCCTGCCACCATCCACTCATTTTGGCTGGCCTGGATCATGAGTATATTCGTGCACATGCCTGATGTTCTTGGGGAGGTCCTGGAAAGTGACCTTTACCATGGCTTTACCACTGTGCCATTGCCTAGCCCCCTATGGTACTTAAAAGACAAAAGCTCAATAAAGATTTGCTAGAAAAGGGAAGAAATATCCATTTGTCTTCCAGTAAAGCTTTAGAGTCCTGTGTTTGTAGTGAGTAGGAAGTTGGTTACAGTCTCAGGTTTTATTGGAGGAAATCCCATTGCAAAATTAGATTTTCTCCACATTTAGAAGCAGCAGAGTCTTTTGCCCACTGCTGATTTCTCTAACCTGTTAATGGGAAAGGAAACACAATGATTCTCCCCATGTGTCTTGCTGGGGTGCAGCTGGCTCAGGGATTCAAATGCACTTCTTGACATGTTTATTTCTAGTCTTCTCTTGTTTTGGCTAAAGCTGAAAGGCTTGGGGATGACCAGAGGCTTTTTAAAGTTTTTTTAAATTTTATTTCTTGGGAGCAAATGGGGCTCACCTTGAACACGGTCTCAACACTCTGTGGTTCCTTTCCCCCAGCCCTCCAGCTAGTCAGGATCCTAGGTGAGCATATACCCGGAGTGTTTCAGGTGGACTAAAGGTCTAAACTTACACTCGGACATGTGGTTTCCAGCACTGTATTTCAGTTTGCTACAACTGAGGCTGGACCACTTTTTTACTTGTAATGTGTTTCCAACCATGGATGTGGCCACAGACATAGTTAGGTCTAGAGCTTTAGAATGCATGCCAGAGACTTTTCTCTTGGTCTGTGAAGATTTTGCTTTATATAATAGGTGTATTTTTTTCAAGCATATAAATTTTTATGAACTGAGCTGTGATTGAAGGTATTGGAGCTTGAAGCAAATTATTGTGCAATTTGCTATATGAAATCTTTTTTTTCCTAAGAATTGTTTATTTAATTATTTATTATTATTTTTAATTTGGTATAGGGCACATACACTCACCAGAGAGAGAAAGAAAGTAAAAGCAACCTGCCAGATCTGGCGTGGTCAGCCATGTGGGAGTCCAGCACCTCAACTACCACATCACTTGCTGGCCCCAGCTATGTAAAATCTTAATCTGAATAGATCTAGTTTCTTTTTCTTTTCTTTTTCAGGTTTTTGCCATATGGTGCATGTGCTTATTGGAGAGCGACAATGAAAAAGAAATTGAGAAATCATCCCCCCAGGGGGTATGGTCACACAGCAGTCCCTTCTCCATTCTCCTCTCTGGATCTTGCACATCCACACACACATGTGCCCAGTGTGGTTTTCAAGCTACTGGGTCCAGGACTTGAACTGTGGTTGGCCATGTGGGAGTCCAGCACCTTAACCACCATGCCACCTGCTGGCCTCTGTCTAGATTTCTTTTCTTCTTTTTTTAAAGAATTACTTTATTTAACTTTATTTATTATTTTTTAAAAGAATTATTTATTTTATTATTATTGTTATATTTTTAATTTGACCAGAGCAAGACACACAAAGAGAAAGCGAGAAAGCAAGCCTCCAGGTCTGGGACTTGAATGGTCAGCCATGTGGTAATCTAATGCCTTTAACCACCACACCACCTCCCGGCCCCTATTTATTTATTTAAATTTAACCAGAGAGGGACAGAGTGAGAGAGAGAAAGTGAGAAAGCAGGCCATTAGATCTGGGACTTGAACTGTGGTCGACCATATGGGAGTCCAGCACCCTTAACCACTATGCCACCTGTCGGCCCCTGTATCTAGATTTCTTAATAAGTTTTCCTGTGTTTTTAATAAAACTGTTCATTATAATGTAATAGTGGCTTTAAAGCATAGAATCTGTAATCAGACTGAGTTCAAATCCAGGTTCTGTCACTTCCCAGCTTTATGGCTTTTGGCATGGCTCCTATAAAGTAGGGATTACGGTAGTTACTTTAAAGAGTTGCTGAGGAAAGGCAGAATTAATTCATAAAAAGTGCTTAAGACCATGCATGTCATCTGGTGTTTGTTTCTTTAATGTTAACGATGTTTATTACTGAGTATGTGATCTATTTAGGACATTGTGCTAGGTAGTAGGGACCCATACATGGTCTGTAGCTGGGTTGCTGCCCGCAAGCGGCTTGTGATATTGTTGGGAAACTTTTTTTTTTTTTTTTTTGAGAGGTTTTTTGCTATAGGGCGTGTGTGCTCGCCAGACAGAGACATAGAGACAGAAAGCGAGAAATCACCCCCCAGGGGGGATGGTCACGCCGCAATCCCTTCTCCTCCATTCTCCTCTCGGGATCTTGGGCACACACGCACACGCGCCCGGCGTGAGTTTTAAGCCACCGGGTCCGGGACGCGAACCGCAGTCGACTACGTGGGAGTCCAGCGACATAACCATTACGCTAACTGTTGGTTCCCTGTTGGGAAACTCTTAAGAGATTAAAGATTAATCTGTAGCTTTAAAGCTACAGGGCAGGCTTCCGAGCACAGTGGTGAAGTGATGTGCACAGGGAGCTGGATCCCACGTGGCCATTTGTGGTTTGAATCCTGACACTGGTAGCTTGAAAAACATGCTGGGCATGTGTGTGTGTCCAAAATCCTGATGGGATGGAGAAATGGAGGAAAAAGGATTGTGATGTGACTACACTTCATTTTAGGGTGCATCTCTCTCCTCCTTCCAACCTTGTGAACACATTAGCCTGTGGCAAAAAGAAAAGTTTAAAGATAAAAGCTTCATGCTGTTACAGGTGTTTGTTTCAAATGAGTCATAGAGACCAATGCTATAAGCATTCAGTAGAAGGAACGGGCCATCTGGAAAGCTTTATAGCAGAGGTGTCTGATCGGTTTCTGAGCTACTGACAAAGAATTCTAAGGAGCCAGTCAGTGACATGGGGGTTGAGGTGACTGGATCCCACATGGCTGACTACATGGTTGGAGTCCTAGACTCAGCAACTTCAAAAGCAAGCCAGTGCACGTGTGTGCATGCCCACAATTCCAAAAGGAGGGTAGAGGAGAAGGGATTGTGGTATGGCTATCTCCCTAAAGGATGATTTCTCACTTTCTCCCTCCCTCCCTGGCAAGCACATGTACCCAATAGCAAATTTTAAAAAAGCAAAGAAACAAAAAAACCCCAAAGAATCTCAAGAAGCATGGCCAAAAGAGAACCAAGAGATGTGGCAAGGCACATTTAGCCCAACCTGCAGGATTATAGGTGGCAGGAGTTTTTTATAGTTAATTTGTAGAAGTAATCTGGCAGCATAGTTTGGTTCAATTGAGTAAAGACATTGGAAGTCTCAATCTTCCTGTTTGGGGATTATCCCATATGCCTTTAATGTTGCCTTGCCCAGTTCCCCTCTTGTGCAGGAGTAAGGCAGGAATGAATTGGGTGGGAGAAAGGTGACCACCCAGATTTATATCTCCTTTTTCCACTCTCTCTCTACAGTATGACTTCTCCTTGGAAAAAAAAACCATTGAGTGGGCCGAAGATATCAAAAAAATCCAAGAAGCCCAGCGGGATGCAGAACGCAAGGCTGAGGAAGCAGAAGCCAAAGTGAATTCTAAGAGTGGCCCAGAAGGTGACAGCAAAATGAGCTTCTCCAAGACTCACAGCACAGCCACAATGCCACCTCCTATTAATCCTATCCTTGCCAGCTTACAGCACAATAGCATCCTTACCCCAACTCGGGTCAGCAGTAGTGCCACAAAACAGAAAGTTCTCAGTCCACCCCACACAAAAGCAGATTTCAATCCTGCTGACTTTGAGTGTGAAGAGGACCCATTTGATAATCTGGAGTTAAAAACTATTGATGAGAAGGAAGAGCTGAGAAACATTCTGGTAGGAACCACTGGACCCATTATGGCTCAGTTATTGGACAGCAATTTGCCCAGGGGAGGATCTGGGTCTGTGTTACAGGATGAGGAGGTCCTGGCATCCTTGGAACAGGTGACCCTAGATTTCAAGCCTCTTCATAAACCCAATGGCTTTATAACCTTACCACAGTTGGGCAACTGTGAAAAGATGTCGCTGTCTTCCAAAGTTTCCCTACCCCCCATCCCTGCAGTAAGCAATATTAAATCCCTGTCCTTCCCCAAACTTGACTCTGATGACAGCAATCAGAAGACAGCCAAGCTGGCAAGCACTTTCCATAGCACATCCTGCCTCCGCAATGGCACGTTCCGGAATTCCCTAAAGCCTTCCACCCAAAGCAGTGCCAGTGAGCTCAATGGGCATCATACTCTTGGGCTTTCAGCTTTGAACTTGGACAGTGGTGTAGAGGTGCCAACCCTGACATCCTCCCAGATGCCTTCCCTCTCTGTCTTGTCTATGTGCACAGAAGAATCATCACCTCCAAATACAGGTCCCGTGGTAAGTCTTTTAAAACCCTCCCCTCCTAAATTAAGACTTCTAGATTCTTGCTAACAGTTGTCTCCCTCACATCCTAATTCCTGATGGGGCAAATTGACCTGGTTGTTTAAGTGTAGTTGTTCTGGTTATTTTCCTGAGGGCAAGTATCATTAATTTTGAACCTTAATGTTTGCTTGTTCATTCTTTTTTTTTTTTGTCTTTTCTTTGCAAAGATAAGGTATAACATATGTCATGTGAATGGTGTTTTTCTGCCTAATCACTTGGTTCTTTTCTGTGCAGCCATGTCTTGTATTCATTTTTTAATGGCTCTCTTTGTACCTTTTTACTTTTTCTAATACCTTTCTTTGTTTTGTTACTAGCTTGCCTTGGTACTCCTTGTTATATCTTCTCCCAGCTCCCTTATCCCCATTTTAGTCTTCCATGAAGTATGGTTCTTTTTACCGTAATTTGGCTAATTTGGGATTAATTCTGTCTGGCTGATGCTTTAGTTACTCAGATACTTTGTATTGAAGTTGAAGCATAAGGTAGAAGTTACCACTTTTTATTTTTATTTTTATTTATTTATTTATTTTTGCTATAGGGTGTGTGCGCTGCCAGACAGACAGAGAGAGACAGAGAGACAGAAAGCGAGAAATCTCCCCCCAGAGGGGATGGTCACGCCACAGTCCCTTCTCCTCCATTCTCCTCTCGGGATCTTGGGCATGCACGCACATGTGCCCGGCGTGAGTTTTATTAAGCCACTGGGTCCAGGACGTGAACCACGGTCAACTACGTGGGAGTCCAGCGACATAGCCATTAATGCTAACTGCTGGTTCCCAACCACTTTTAAATCTACAGTTTGAATTGTGCAGTTTTTTTCAAAAGGGAGGAGGGAAGGTGGTAACTGGGAACTCAGATTAAATGTAAGATGTATTAATATAAAAATTGCAACATTCTGAAGAAAATCTGATTTTGTCATGCAAAAATGTTGCAGATGCTGCAAGGTTCATTTATATATCACAAACTGTAGGCTTAGGTCTTGCAGTTGTTTCAGCAGCACAGAGCAACACAAGACTGCATTCTAGAATAGAAATCATGGAAGTCCAAGAACATCTTACTGTACCAGCCATACATGTTTTTAAGTGACAGAGCACAGCAAGAGACTGTTTAGAGCCAGAAAGGAGTCTAATTTGTTTATGAGATGTCTACTAGAGACCGTAACAAGCCTGCTGTTAGCTGTAGAAAGATGAAACCTCGGCCTGCTTACAAGTGCAAGGTCCTAGCAGTAGCATTCTTGGTGTATGTATCATCACCTGTAGGAGTGCTTCCATTTTCAGAGAGCTTGCCATGTCTTGTAAACTTCCATGACCTTGGCTAGATAAACTTGACAGAGTGCAGAACACCACAGAGTATTGTCTCCTTGGAGTGGGCTTCATCTTGATTCCTCCAGGTCAGCATTGTATTCCTCTTCATGATTCATTGTATCCCTTAGACAAAACACTGTGGGGCTCATTTGCAGCCCTCAGGTGGTAGTGTGTGATACTGGAGGTATATGGGACACCCAGGTTCAGATTCTGGGCTGACATAGACACACTTGCGAACAAGGCTGCCTGGGAGGCTGGGGGTAAGGAATGGTGTGGTTTGAGACCTGGTGAGGGTATCTTATCTTCCTGCCTCTGCCCCCTTCTTTCTCATTCATGAAAGAAGTAAAATAAGTTAAAAACAACCCCCAAAACTCTGGAACCAGATCAGGGATCCTTAGCCAACCCTCCTTACATTTCATTTAAAGTTAGATTAACTGTTTAAAGACCAAAACCAATGACTAAATCTGAGATCTTTCTCAGACCAGAATATTTATTATTATTATTATTTTTTTTTGGAGAAGTTTTTGCTATAGGGCATGTGCGGTCACCAGAAAGACAGAGAAGCAGACAGACAGCGAGAAATCACCCCCCAATCACCCCCCAGGGGGGATGGCCACGCCACAATCCCTTCTTCTCCATTCTCCTCTCAGGATCTTGGGCACACATGCACACACACCCGGCATGAGTTTAAGCCATTGGGTCCAGGACTCGAACTGTGGTTGGCTACATGGGAGTCCAGCAACATAGCCATTATGCTAACTGCTGGTCCCTGTAATATTTATTACTCTTTGACCAAGCCGATTGCAGAGTTTGTTTCTGTCATATTCACCTCAGGGTGGGAAGGGACCTGCTTTTTGCTCATTTGAGAACTTGGTGCTTTTAGCTGGTTGGGATAAATGGAGTTGCAGTTCTGACATCTTTCTAAGGAAGTCATGACCCTGTCCCAAGGGAGCAAAATCTAGTTCCCATCTATTTTTTTTTTTTTAAGAGATTTTTGTCTTAGAGTGTGTTTGCTCTTTTGAGAGAGAAAGACAGAGACAGTGAGAGGGAAAGTGAGAAATCACCCCCTTGAAGGGGATGACCACACCTCAATCCCTTCTCCTCCATTCTCTCAAGATTTTGGGCATGCACGTACAGGCACCCTGTGTGATTTTCAAGCCACTGGGTTCGAAACTCAGACTGTGTCAGCCATGTGGGAGTCCAGCGACATGCACTATGCCATCTACTATATTTTACTTTTTAATTAATTAATTTTTTAGTTTTCGTGTTTTTTAAATTTAATCACCCCGGGGTGTGTGTGTGTGGGGGTGGCTGACCATGCCTCAATCCCTTTTTCTCCATTCTCCTCTCAGGATCTTGGGCACATGCACCCAGTGTGAGTTTTTTAACCCATTTCTTATGGGATTTACCCCTGAATCTCTAAATCTTTATATTTTGGGTTGTCAGGAAAATCATGACGTATTTTTACATAGAAAAACAGAAAAATACATAACTTTTCCAATGACCCAATACTTTTTTCTAAATTTATCAATTTTAGATTGTTGTTGTTTTTAAGTAAGAGAGTATGTGCATGTGCATTAGAGAGAGTGAGGCGCACCTTCAATAGGGTCTTTTCTCACTGCAGTCTCCTTTCATTGGTCTTCTAGCTTGTCGGGACTTTGAGCATGCACCTGGCAAGTTTCAGGTCACGTGGTTGAGGACCCAAATCTACAATCAGTTGTTGGGGCATCCAGCATTGCACTTGCTTGTTGCTGACTCCAGTACCATGCTAGGCCAATTCTAGACAGTTTTGTACTTCCTGTTGTTATAGTACTTGAAGATCTAGCTCTTGTAGTAGCTTCTTCTCTCAGATTCGTATCCCCTATCCTCCATCATACTTATATCACTAATTTTGATTATGTTGTCCACATTAATGTTATTGTTCTCATTATCATTGGATAAATGTTTATTGGCAAATTCACATTTTCCTTTTATTTTTTTGCAGCTTTTTTCCTTAGTTAAACTGTCCCTGTTTTGAAATTTGAATAGTTTATTTGTACCTATTGTCGTTTTGTCTAGATGTTATGAGAGCTGTGAAAAACCTGATAATTTTACCAATCATTCAAATACATTGGTTAACCTTTCAGTTTTTAAGTCCTTCTATATCTAAAAGTGTTTTATTAAAATTTTGTTAGCCTCATGTTTGAATTACAGTCTCTCTGGATTTTCTTAGTTGGAGATCATTCTCAGAATTTTCAACACATTGCATTTAAAAAAAAAAAAAATTAATTAATTTGACCAGAGAGGAACAGAGTGAGAGAGAAAGGGAAAATCAGAAAGCAAGCCGCCAGGTCTCGGACTCGAACCGCAGTCTGCCACATGGGAGTCCAGTGCCCTTAACCATTATACCACCTGCTGGCCCTACATTGTTCCTTTTTTAAAAAATAATATATAAAAGTTTTTACAATGAAAGGTTTTACAATTTAAATTAAATAAATTTTTTATTGCCATAGGGCATGTAAAGAGGGAGAGAGAGAAAGTGAAAAAGCACCCTCTGGGGGATGACCACATCACAGTCCCTTCTACATTTTCCTCTTGAGATTTTAGGTATGCTCACATAGATGCCCGTTGTGGTTTTTTCTTTTTTCTTTTCTTTTTTTTTTTTGTAATAATTATTTTATTTAACTTTTTAATTTATTATTTATTCATTCATTTATTTCAATTTGACCTGAGATGGACAGAGAGAGAGAGAGAAAGGAAGCTGCCAGGTCCAGGACTTGAACCACGATCAGCCATGTGGGAATCCAGCGCCCTAACCACCATGCCACCTGCTGGCCCCATTCGTTGTGTTTTTCAAGCTGCTGGGTCTAAGGCTGGAATCACCCAGTAGGGATCCAGCCACTTTAACCATAATGCCACCTGGCTGGACCAACCCCCTTTTCTTTTTAGAGAGAGATTTTTTGCTACAGGGCATTTGTGCTTGGCAGAGAGACAGAGAGAGACAGAAAATGAGAAATCACTCCCCTGGGGGGGGGGGTGACCATGCTGCAGTCCCTGCTCCATTCTCCTCTCAGGATCTTGGGCACACATGCACATGCACCTGACTTTTTTGTTTTTTTAAATTATTTATTTAATTCCATTTGTTATTATTTTTAAATTTTACCAGACAGAGAGAGAAAGAGGGAAAACGAGAAAGGAAGCTGCCAGGTCCAGGACTTGAACCATGGTTGGCCATGAGGAAATCCAGTGTCTTTAACCGAAACATCACCTGCCGCCTCCCTCCACTATTCGCCACCCAACCCCCTGCACGAATTTTAAGCCACTGGGTCCAGAACTCGAACCATGGTTGACTGTGTGAGTCCAGCAGTATAACTGATAAGCTATCTGCTGGTCCCCACAGTGCCTTTCTTTTGTTAAAATTTTTATTTATCTTTTTAATGAAAGTAAGCTGTACTGATTTCTAGCATCCCAGTGCCAGTTTTAGTTCTGCTTCATTCTTCCTATCACCACTACCTCTGAAAGCTGGGGGATTTTTTTTCTCTTCATCTCTAGAGATCTGAAATTAATCTGTGATGTGTCTTGATTCATTCATTGTACTAGGCTCTCCAGGATTCCATTCCTTTTAAATTTTATGTATTTATTTTTAATTCACCCAAGAGGGACAGAGAAAGAAAGCTGCCAGATCTAGGACTCAAACTGTGGTTGGCCATTTGGAAGTCCAGCACCTTAACCACCATGCCACCTGCCTGCCCCTGATTCCTTTAAAGCTGAAGTTTAACTCAGTTTTAAAATTCCAGGGGGAAAATATTTTTAAATGTTTCTTTATGGGGCCAGCAGTTGGCATAGTGGGTAAGGCACTGGCCTCCCACATGGCCAGTCACCCTTTGAACCCAGGATTCTGGCAACTTGAAAATCATCAGGGAGGGACAGCAGTGACATGGTGGTTAAGGGTGCTGGACTCCCACATGGCTGACTGCAGTTCAAGTCCTGGACCTGGTGGATTGCTTTCTCCCTTTACCCATACCCCACCCCCCATCTCTCTCTGGTCAAATTAAAATAAATAATTAAAGTTAAATAAAATAGGGACAAGCAATTGGTGTAATGGCTATGTTGTTGGACTCCCATGTAGTTGACTGTGGTTCAAGTCCCAGACCCAGTGGCTTAAACCCACGCTGGGCATGTGTGTGTGCGTGCCCAAGATCCTGAGAGGAGAATGGAGAAGGGATTGTGGAGTGGCCATCACCCCTGGGGAGTGATTTCTCACTCTCTTTCTGGCAAGCGCACGCACCCTATAGCAAAAAGCTCTCAAAAATACAAAATTTATTTATTTATTTATTTACCTATCTATTTATTTGTTGTGATTTTCAAGTTGCAGGGTTTGGGGCTTGAATTGCAGTCAGCCTTGTGGGAATCTAGCACCTTAATCACCTGCTCCCCATAGTTGCTTTTTAAATGACTACATAATAGTTATATGGCTGTTTACTTGCCTAATACCCAGTACTGGATATTAAGGATGTTTCTAATTATTGCAAATGATGCTGAAATATTACTATTTTTTTTTAATTGCCAGAGGGCACATCTGCTTGTCAGAGACAGAGAAAGGGAGAAAGCAATGGGGCATGGTAATGCTGTAATCCCTTCTCCGTGTCTCCATCCTTTTGGGGTTTGGGGCATGCAAGCACCCAGTGTGTTTTTCAAGCTGGTGGGACTCCTGTGGTTGACCATGGAGATCTGGCTCTCATAACCACTAGGTTACCAAGTTGGCTCAAATAATGTTCTTATATATAATATTGGTTTGCATTTTTATTCTTTCTCCAGAATAAGTCCCTGGAAAAAGACCACTAGATGAAAGAATCTGGCATGAGTTTACATGCCAGATTCATCTGAAGAGTATCAAATAACATTTCTACCAGCAGATTATTTGAGAGTTCAGCACATGGCTTAAAACTTGAAGTAGTTTTGGGCCTGCCCATGGCATGGTGATTAAGGTGGCTGGAATCTACACGGCTGACAGTACAGTTAGAATCCCCTGTCTGGGAAGTACACAGGGTGTGTGTGTGTGCCCAACATCACAAAAGGGAGGAGAAATGGAGAAAGGATTGTGGCATGACTATTCCCCATCTGGGGTGCTTTCTTGCTCTCACTTTCTCTCTCTGGTGAGTGCATGCACCCTCTGACAAATTTTTAAAATATATCATTTTATTACATAGAATTTTTTAAGTGCATGTGTCATATCCTACCAGGCATTCAGGAGGCTTTATGAGGAAGGCAGGTGTTTGAAGAATAGTCCTGACTCTTTTCTGGCTGGGCTGTCTCTGAAGGCTGCCATTTGCTTTTCAGTTGCCTGTGTTCTTGAGTCTAGGTAGAGCCTGTCCTTGAAGACGGACATGATCTTAAGGCCTGCAAAGTGGCTAGATTGGTGTGATCCAGTCCCTGTGCCCTGTTAAGACTCCTGTCACCTAATGACAGTCCTGTGACTTGGCTGCTGAGAGTGTGTTAGGATGGTTAAGTGGGAAAAAAATGGCCTTCTAAGAGCCTGTAGTCTTTCTGGCTTTCTTCAGAAGACTTTGAAGTGAGCATCTGGTTATATATATACTGGGTCATCAGGAAAATCACGATGCATTTTTGCATAGAATCGTGACTTTCCTGATGACCTAGTAATTTTGAACTTGCTGCTAGGACAGAAGTCTCCATGTGGTATGATGATCTAACGTCCCCAGCCTTACTAAAGTAAAAAAATAAATAAGAAAGGAAATAAAATCCTTCCTGAAACTTTGTCCCTGGTTTTTTGAATCTGGGCCAAGCTATAGAATAGCTGTGACCTTATACCCGTGGTAGATAGAGCCTTTGGCCTGAGTCATCATCAGAAGTGGTGGGAAGGGTTGACTCTAGGAATCTGTACATTAGACCAAGCTTAATAATGCCCAGTGACTACTTTTTAACTCCAGTAAACTGTGCAGGGCCTTTGAGTTCACATTCCAATTCAGAGGGCCTAGCCTGGTGTGATTAATACTTATTCAGACCTAGCTCTGTCAAATGACAGCTGTAGCAGGAAATGAAGCAAAGTACACCATGTGGGGGCAAAGGTAGAGCCCCCTCAATACCCTGGGGGTGGCTTGGGAACAGCATGTGCAGCCCTGTCCAGTCCATTGATAAAAGCAAGGAAAGACTTTGGGACAGAGTCAGCTCCAAAGTGGGGGTGTATGAAGTGAAAATTCCTGTCAAGACTGAGATACAGTAGCCTAGGAAAACAATGGAGCTCTGGAGAAATCATCACAGTCAGCTTGGGCATCAGTCCTGCAGGCAATCTCAGAACTTTTTTCTCCAACTCAAGCTCAGGGCACTTGGTTGGGAATGGAAGACTGTATAGATGTCCTGGTGCTTTCACAATTGCAGATATCTTCCCAGCTTTTCTCTCCCTTGCTGGTACTCCCTCTCAAGATGTCTGGCAGGCAACCTGGCTCACTCTTCCAAGCAGACTGCTGGACTAGAGGCTAGGATATTGTCATAATGCTAAGCTCTGGGCCATGCTACAGTGGTTTACCAGTAAAGCCACTACTCAGGAGGCTTGAAGCTGCATGGGGGGAGGGGACTGGGTTTGGTTTTGGGCCAACCTGAGCACACCAGGGATAGTTGGGTGTGTCTATAATCCTAGTTGGGAAATCACAACACTGTGAGACCCTGTCAAAAGTACTTACTTTGGGCCAGCAGGTAGTGCTGAGGTAAAGGTGGCTGGATGCCATGTGACTGCACAGTTTGGACCCTGTGGCTTAAAAAACACACCTAGCACACATTTACCTGCCCAAAATTCTGAGAGGAGAATGAAGGGATTGCAGTGTGGTTATCCCCTTCCCAAGTGTGCTTTTTTACTTTCCCTCTCTCTCTTCCCATTCTCTCTCTAGCAAGCACACACATGCCCTATTACATACCTTAAAACAAAACAAGAAAACCTGTGTCCCTCTTCCTCTTTCATAAAAAGAATGGGTGGGTGGGGGAGCTAAGCCCCTGAACTATGCTACCCTGCTGCCCAAGTGTTCTTGCCTTGATCTTCTTGTTTCTCCACCACCAGGCCACCCCTTCTAATTTCTCAGTATCACAAGTGCCCAACATGCCCAGCTGTCCCCAGGCCTATTCTGAACTACAGACACTGTCCCCCAGTGAGCGGCAGTGTGTGGAGACGGTGGTCAACATGGGCTACTCGTATGAGTGTGTCCTAAGAGCCATGAAGAAGAAAGGAGAGAATATTGAGCAGGTGAGCACTGGGTCAGCAGGGAAGTGACTGGTCAGCCAGGAGAGCAGTCGCAGTCCTGGAGCTGAAGCAGTGTGCTGCCTTTCCTTAGAGCCCTTTAGACTTATAGTACCAATTCTCCTTTGGGCTTGTGGGGACTCGGGGCATTCTTGGGGAAATCAGCAGTCTCAGCAGCAGTACTTTTCTTTTGGGGGTGCTCTGGGACCAAGGCTGAGGAAAGCTGTGTAAGAGTAGAGCTCCAGCCATCCCATGTGTGCCTCCAAGAGGGCAAAACAAGGCTTAGAGTATGGCCAAGTGTCGTCTTCTAGATGTCTTTATCCTGTCATAGCTGTCCAGGAAGTTCTAAATAAGATACTGGAGTCCTGTAGTTTGGGGAACCTTTTCTCATGGGCTATTTCTCAGTGGAACACCTGCCTAGGTTGTAGAGCTGACATGTGGGGGATTTGAGTCAACTGTGGCAGCAGCTGTTTGGGTAAGTGGCTCCAGATGTTTAGGAGGGTGTGCCTACTTACTCAGCAAATAGTCATTCTGCCTGCTGTGGTGGACGCAGTTCAAGACACAAAGTCAAGTCTTGTGTGGGATCTGATAGTCTGGATGGGCCAGGCAGGAGCAGACTTCCCACTAGCTAGTTGTATAAGACACTTGGGAAGCACAGAGAAGAATGGCAGCAGGTGCTTAAACCTTTTTTTTTTTTTCTTAGATTCTCGACTATCTCTTTGCACATGGACAGCTTTGTGAGAAAGGCTTCGACCCTCTTTTAGTGGAAGAGGCTCTGGAAATGCACCAGTGTTCAGAAGAAAAGGTGGGAACCTTCATGAGAACTCTCTGGAAAGGAGGAACAAAGTAGTCTGGTGTGGTTTTCTCCTCTGGCCCATAATTATCCACCTTTGCCTGCCAGTGACTATAGCCAGTAGTAGTCAAAGAGCAGAACCTCTCAGTGTCCAGACCGGCTTGTGTATTTGTTTTGGATAAGGCATTGTGTTGAAGACTTACCTAGAATCCCAGTGAAGGGAAGGGGAAATTCACCTGGACTAAAAGCCAAATTTTTTTTTCTTTTAAGAATTATTTTATTTCATTTGTTTAAATTTGATAGGAGAGGGGAGTAGGAGAGAGAGGAGAGAGAGAGGAAAAGTGAGAAAGCTGCTGCTAGGTCCGGGACTCAAACTGCAGTGGGCCATGTGGGAGTCCAGCACCCTTAGCCACCACATCATGTGCCAGCCTCAAAGCCATACTTTAAGATGACTAGGTCTTGCTAGTGTCTGCCTGGCCTGCACCCTGCAAAGCAGTTTCTGGGTTCGGTGTACTGCTTTGGAGTATAGATGTGGTGGTGGGACCCAGACTGAGGTCAGTAAGAGTAAGGTGGGACTGGATTCCTCCACAGCCCACCTCTGTTGCTGCGAAACCTCAGGGAAGCTTATGAGACTGGTTGAAGAATACAAGTTCCCCTTTCTTCCCCCCATCTCAGTACCCGTGCTCACACATACTCCTTCACATAGCAGTGTTGTGTGGGTGGCTTGACTTTCTTTAATCTTTATTCTTTTCTATCTCTTAGATGATGGAATTTCTTCAGTTAATGAGCAAATTTAAGGAAATGGGTTTTGAACTAAAAGACATTAAGGAAGTTTTGCTATTACACAACAATGACCAGGAGAATGCTTTGGAAGACCTCATGGCTCGGGCAGGAGCAAGCTGAGACCAGGCCTTACCTAGGCCCTGCCACGGAACCACCACCCCAGGACGCCCTGAAAAGCCTACCTGTGGGTTAGGAGAAGGGGCGCACTTCCGGATTTTCTTTTGGGGGTTGGAAGGTCAGGTGTAGAGGCTGTGCTTGCCAGTCTCTGTGAGCCTAGGACCTGAGCTGGGGAGAAAGTGGAGACGATTTGGGCATATGAATGCCCCCAGAACCATCCTGGCTCCTTCCTTATTAAATATATTTGTATTTTAAGAAGTGTCCTTCCCATCTCGGCCCCCTAGAGACTTTTGGGGTCTTTTGTGTCCTTGGCAGAAACCTGGCCTGGCTGCCAAGAGGAATCGGGGAGAAGGGGTGGGAGGGCCACACTCAGTGCTGCTTTGGGGCTAGACACTTGCTCCCTTCCCCCACACTGGTGGACTGAACTTTGACCCAACTTGAGTGCAAATGAAAGGTTCTTCCAGGGTTTTATTTTCCCCCTTTTAACAATGTCTCTTAGTGTTACACTGGTTCTGCAATGTCTCTGAGGTACAGAAAATGTACTTTTCCCCCATGGGGCCCAGAGTTTGCCTCTCTGCCGGGCAGTCACCTTGCTTCCCTGCCCCAACCTATTTCTTTTGGCTTGGTTTGGACCACAGTCCTTTACTACCCAGGGTTTTAGGCCCCCTGTTCTAGGACACAGTTGTCAGTGTAAGAACTCATTGGCTCCTTCCCAGCACACTAAATGGGTGAGAAAACAGTCCACAAATTAGTCACTCAGTACTAACTTTACCTCCTTGAACTGCCTCTCCCTCCAGCCCACTGCTTTAGGATGACACAATGAGTAACACCTAGTCATAGAAATCAGTCTCTTTGGTTTGTTTTGTATTATGTTGTACATCATTAAAGATCTAAATACAAATGATATACAGTCTTGATGAATCGAAAATAATTTGCTAACTATTTTGATTCTTCAGAGAGAACTACTAATAAAAGTCTAAAAGGTATGTCTTGCTGTGATTATTTCTTTGCTGCAAAAGGCTGTTTTACTGAGGGACATGTGTGGTGCTAAAGATTTCCTGCTTAGATTTGGTGGGAGTGGAACCATTTTCTGTCCTTCTAGTATTTACTTCCCATTCTAAGGCCTGTGGGACCCAGGAGCTGGTCTTCCAGGCATTCTGCTTTGGTTTTTGTTTTATAAAGGCAGGCCCAGACAAGGGCCTGTTTAAACTTGACTTACCCTCAGTTTTAGGGCCAAGGATATATACCCTTCTGCAAGACAGTGGAAGAAGGACTGGCTGGGCCTCCAGGAGAATCACCAAGAAAATGAAAAATTTCTTCCTGTGGGCAGCATTAGGCATTTATGTGCTCTGTGCCACAGGCAGGACAGGATTTAAAACTGCTTCACCAGCCCTCAGTGGTGCTTTTGTGATATAATAGAACTGGATTCATCCCTAAAATTTCTTATCCTTCTACAGGATATCATTCTACTATTCCTTTAGGCTCACGGTCCTCTTCAGTTTTGAGTGGCCACTTTGGAGGTGGGTGATACTGTGATTAGGGCCAGAAAGCACCAACCTGGAAGCAGGATGCCCTCTTGCGGTCAGACCAGGAACCGCCAGAGGCTGACAAAAGGTGGCTGGGATAGGCTGCTGCTCTCCTAAGAACCCGTTTCTGGGCCTTTTAATTAGTCCCTCCTTTTAAAAATCTTAAAAAGTTATCTTTTACTGAAGGAAATTAAAAGTTCACACAGTAGTGAGCATCAGGACTAAGGCTGGGTGTGACACATGAATTTCAATTTGACCTTGAATGTGATGTGTTACACCCAGCCTTAGTCCTGATGCTCACTACTGTGTGAACTTTTAATTTCCTTCAGTAAATTTCAATTTGACCTTGAATGTGATGGGCACTTGGAGGACACTGTATTCCTCATCTTGAGCTTCTGTCTACTAAAAAGATGCACAACAAGCAGAACTCAGGTGAAGGTGTGTGGAAATTGTTTCAGAGGCCTCAGATTATCAACTGGAGCACACACCACTAAACTCATGCCTTTAGGAGATAGAGTGGCTAGCAGCGTGATCTGGATGATGATAAGCATAAAAGATGAACTTGCTTGAGATCTTCTGCCTCTTCAACTCTTTCAATGAGACATACGGGGAGTGAGGACAGGAGCCAGGAATTGCCACTGAAGCATGGAGGCTATTAAGCATAAGAGACCTTTACCATAGCAAAAGTCAGAGATGGAGGAAAAAACTCAGTGACGTGGGCACCCTCTTCCGTCTTCAAACTAGATTGCAGGAAGGAAGGGGAACTAAACATAAAGCCTGTTCCACATCTGTTACTTGTTAAAGATGCAAGTCAAGGTTTATTCATTATATATTTTCAAAAACTAAATCCCCAAATCAATGTCCAAGGGCTAATGGCGCAAAGTTCACCCTACCCTATCCCTGCTAGCACCGATGTTTTAGTTTTTGTCAATGTTTTAGTCTTTGAAGATAGGCACAGAATTCAGCTGACAAAGCCTCTGGACTCAGCATATTCTCTCTAGTTTGTGACTTCTGATCTCCAAGTTACCACTGACCATCCTATTCTCTGACTCCCAAATTTAGAAACATTATAAGATTATCAGACCCAAATGTGTTCCCACAGATAAGGGGTCAATGAAGCAAATTCTCTTCTAGCCCTGGAGAAAAGAGAGGGTCATTAAGCCTTCCAGCCTGGTCTGCCTTTCTTACAGCTGCTCTTGTGCTTGGAACCGAGGAGAAACAGAGGCCTGAACCTGAGGGAAGAACTGGGGCTCATCAAAGACCCTGTGTGTGGCTTGTGTGAGGCTAGCACAGGCCGGACCAAGGAGCAGGTTCTGCTAAGTGCTGTGGGAACCTACCAGAGGCCTCCAGCCCCATCATCCCATACAGAATCACACTCTTAAGATACCACTGTCCTTTCAGGGGCTGCAGCTGGCCTGTGACAGGTGAGGTACAGCTGCAGCTGGCTTCTCAAGCTCTGGATGCACTTGGATTTCAGAGCCATGATTTCATCCAACTGGGTTACAAAATCTTCAAAATCCTGGGAAAGGAAACAGGACAAATGGAGCTTTTGCTCTTGTTGGTCAGATCTCCTTTTCTAGTCCCTTCTCTTGCAGGGAAATTTCAGAACTCAGGCCCCTCCTTTAGCTGGAAAACCTGTAGAATGTCATAGTAGTACAACATGGGGCCCACTTCTCTGTATTTGAGGCACTTTCTAGCTAGCAGTATTTTACAGGGTAGAGGGATGTTTTAGTAGAAATAGCTCTGATCTGCATGTGGTAAGCAATAGGCTGGTCACTGGTACTGTCACAAGGAGGGGTCCCAACAAGCCACTAGGAAGGCAGAAGGATAAAGACCGGAAACACTATAGCCTGGGAATATGGAGTCAAGTACTACCTACTGAGGTGACTCTGTACTGGCATAAAGAGCTTTCCAGCAATTGGTATTTTAACTTCTATTGGAGGAGAGGTGACTGCTGGAACTGCTGGTGATAAAAGTACAAATATTCCCTCTCCTGATGTTGAGGGATGTCAGTTCAAGCTTCAGAAGCCTTTCTTATCCCTGAACCTGTCCTAGAGGAGTGCCAAGAGGAGGTACAAGGCCTCAATAATGGGTGGTGTGTGTCAGCAAGCCTTATCCCCCACCCTCACCTAACCACAGCAAACGGGCGATCACACTAACTGCAGGCTGATTCCTGGCAGCCTGTGTGTCTAGCCAAGGCTACTTACATTAGAAGCCAGCTGGCTCATCAGGATCTCCTCTTTGAAGCCCAACTTTGCCATTTCATCTAGCTGTTGCTGGTGTGCTTGAATGACCACCTGCCTGGAAACACCAAAGGGGACACTATGATCCTCTTTGCTTCCATCCTCTCCTGGGGAACTTTCTGGAGCTGTGTCTCATTTCCAGTCCACGTGCTGCCTCTGTTCAGGTAGTCAAGGCTTTGACTAGGGTTAGTTTATCACCTAACTCTCCCATCACCAGTTCTTTCTCAGGACTAGTCAAGGGATTAGGTGATTATGAATAAGAGAAGAGACAGAGGCTTCTTGAGCCACCCCCTAGCCCCCAGCTCTGGCAGTAGGAATCCACAGGAGCTGCCATTTCCCATGGCCTCCCTACAGAAAGGCTCTCAAGACCGGGACCCTGCAGCTGGTATACTTGGTACAGGGTAGAGCCTCTGCCCAGTTTGCTCCATTTTTACTACTCATTTAGGGTCCAGGGACTATAGTAGGGGTGTTGAAGCTGGAAGGTAGAGGATCTGTCTTTTGTCAGACTAGCAATGGTTGGAGACCACAGGGTAGCCAGATTGTCCTAGAGAGGCAGGCTTCTCACCAGGGTATCCCTTCATGGTTGTCTCTGTGTTCCTAACATTAAGCTGGGTGGGACTGAGTGTGCCATAGGGACTCGAGTTGGGGGGAGAAAGTCCAACTTACTGTGCTTGCTCCAGGGTGGGCTGATGGAATGTGCCTGTGGTGCCTGGCCTTGCCAAGCACCCTGTCATCGGCCTGTGTTTGAGCCACATGATGTTCTCACTGTAGCAGGGCAACTTGACAGGGTCTGCAGACAAACTGAACTCCTGCCAGCCGATCCTTGTGAGATCGCTTCTCTCCTTGGCCCAGAGATGGTCAGCCACATCACTACTTCCTGTTTGTGGGGTGAGTATAGGTCTAGAATGGAGTACCCCTGAGGTGGGGAAGGGCTTTCCCGGGAAAGCCCAGGAGCTGCCTAGCTCTGTATCCTTGGCATTGGCTTCATACCACTCCCTACTGATGTGTTCCTGGGAGAAGAGTGCAGTTTCTTCACTGTGACAGGCCTCACCTAGGCTGGCCTCCCTGCTGGACAGCTTGTCAAATGGGTGCTGACGGATAGGTGATGGGGACAAAGCTGGAAGATTACTACTGGGCGTATTGTCAGGGGGAGATGAGGACAACCACAGGTGGCCAGTTACCGAAGATAATGGCAAGGTTGCCTCTTGGTCACCAGATGACACTGTGTGGCCCGCAGCTGGCCCCTCTGTGTTCTCTGCCACTAGATTGTGCACAGCCCCTTCTTGGGCTAGTTGCTCCAATGGAGGAGAGCCATCATTGTTGGGATTCTCCAAGAGGGACATGGTGAGGGGAGCCATCAGTCCAGAGGCATGTTCAGAGCATGCATCCGATGGCTCTGTGGAGTCTTCTTGGAAAAGATTACTGATTTTCTCTGTGTTGGTCACCTGTGTTGAGCTGTCTTCACTGACTTCCGTCAGAGGTGTGGTGACTGTTTCTCTTTGGTCTGGTGATCCAGGCACTGCAATGTGGGATAGTGTGGAAGTGAAACCATTTTCCTCAAACAATGGTAAGCTGCCCTCAGCCTGCCCAAGAACCTCACTTCTAATGGCATGCTGTCCGAGATCAGGCGCTGGGCCTCCACCTCTTTTCTGGCTACATACAAAGTCTACCTGCGAACAGTATGGTTTCTCTGCCAGGTTGTCTCTGCAAGAGGGCACTGAGGAGGAGGACTCCCCCTCTCTGCTCCAGTCCAAGGGCACCTTACTTGGGCTGCAGCTGTGACTAGGTGCTTTTCTGTGATGTATGGGGTCCCTGGCATATGCCCAGCTTCCAGTTAGACCTTTCTCACTGCTATCTGTCCTAGGGCTAAAAAATAGACTTTGCCGCCTTTCTTTGCACTGCTCCTCAGGATCTTGCTCCTCCCTCTTATGAAGAAAGAAGGAGCCTTCGCTGTTCTCCAGAGTGTTCCTCTGCTTTGTAGTCCTCTGACCAGAGACATGTGAAAAGGAATCTTCACTGAAATCACTGTCATCAAGGTCTTCGGCTTGGGTTCCATCATGGTTTTCGGTATAAGATCGGAATGGAAGGGGGGTCTCATTTTGGAGCTGACCCTCTGGGGGCCTATACTGGCATAAAAACCTTTCCAGTGGTTGATATTTTAACTTTTGTTGGAGGAGAGGTGGCTGCTGGAACTGCTGATGATAAAAGCGCAAATGTTCCTCTCTCTCCTCCTGACGTGGAGGGATGTCTGTCCAAGCTTCAGAAGTGGACCTGGTGGGCCTGCCCCTCTTGCTATCCTGACTGTATTCTAAGTGGTGGGCATTGCTAAAGGGGAGTTCACCTCGTGACACAAGCTGTTTCTGTACTGGCTGCACAGTCTGAACTTTCTTGCCCTGAGTGGGCAGCTTACCATGCACTAGGCCTTCTGGGCCTGGGGCCCTGCTGCCCCATCCAAGGGCAGTTTTGTTGCCAACTTGATGCTTCTCAGAGCACAATGGTGCTGACTCTTCTGCTCTTTTTTTTGCCAAATTTCCCGACCGCACAGTTCCTTTGACAGGGCTAGTCTGAATGACCCAAGAGTGGGGAGGACTCCCTATGAAGCCACCCCTTTTACCAGGGTCTTTAGGTACAGGAGCCAAAAGGATGTTGGGTGGGTGGCTGGCCAGAGGATGAGCCTTCCCTCTTGTGGAGCCAGGTGCCACTGTGAGTGACTGCTGAAGCCCCAGCTTGACTTTTTTGGGAGAACACTTGTCCCCTACCAGGGCTACAGGGGAGCTCTGAATTCGTTTTGGAGAAGAGATTCCAGACATCCTATTCCGATTGGTAGCTGAAATGCAACTCCTCATGCCTTTCTTTAGTTCTTTGACCCTGTAAATAACCATTTTATGTTAAATGTATATTCTCACATGTTCAGTAATTCCTTTTGTTAGCTTTCAAGGGATACAAAACCTGAAGAAAAGTATTACAAGGATTGGAAATTTTTTGTTTTTGTAATCCAGAGAGAATAAGAGGTAAAGGGGAAATTCTATTTCCTTTATTTATTTATTTATTTATTTATTAGAGGTGTTTGTTATAGGGCGTGTGTGCTCACCAGAAAGACGGAGACAGAAAGTGAGAAATCACCCCCGAGGGGGGGAGGCCACACCACAATCCCTTCTCCTCCATTCTCCTCTCGGAATCTTGGGCATGCACGCACACACGCCTGGTGCGAGCTTAAGCCACCAGGTCTGAGACTCGAACCGTGGTTGACTACATGGGAGTCCAGCGACATAGCCATTATGCCAACTGCTGGTCCCGGGGAAATTCTATCTCAACATGAGATACTTTTCTGTACTGGAACAAAAAAGAGCAGAGTCTGTTCTAAGGATGTAAGTTTGCACCCAGTGTTCCAAGATCAAGAGTTTTGGAAACCACCACAGCCTGGTATGAGGGACAGGCAGGGAAGCCAGTCTCAGACCTGCACTCTGTTCTCACACGGTCACACCGTGCTTCCTGAAGATGGGCCAGCTCATGAGTTTGTGTCTACCATTTACCTGCAGTTCCACAGTCAGAACCCTCTTTTCCTGCAAACCACCCCCTTGCAAGTTCCTCTGGGAAAATGAGTCCCTCAAACCTGCTGGACACTTTAGGAAGCAAAACCTCCAGATTTGTATCAATTCCATTTAGAGAAAAATTACAATTTCTCAATCTTCACACTATTGAGATTTTGCAATAACTCTATTGTAGGAGCTGGTCCTATGCACCAACCATAGGAGTTTAGTAGCATCTTTGGCCTCTGCCTCTACATGCCAGTAACACTTTTCCCAGTCGTGACAATAAAAAAAAGTCTCACCTGGGGCCAGCAGGTAGTGTAGTGGTTAAGGCACTGGACTCCCACATGGCTGGTCATGGTTCAAGTCCTGGATCTGGCAGCTTGAAAATTATGCCAGGTGCATGTGAGTATGCACCCAAATCCCAGAAGGAGAATGAAGGAAGGACTGTGGCATGATCAATTTCCCTGGTGGGTGATTTCTCATTTTCCTTCTCATTGTCTCTCTCTCTGTCTCTCCCTACAAGCATGTGCGCACAGTGGCAAAAACCTTCAACTTTTTTTTTTTTTAGGAGACTCACCCTTGGCCTAACTGCGGTTGAGACTTCATGAGAGGCCTGAGTTCAATTCCCAGCCCACCCTAGAAAAAGCCAGATATGGTGGCATATGCCTGTGTTCCCAGCTACTCAGAGAAGCTGAGGCAGGAAGATTGCAACCGTGAGCCCTATCTAAGAAAAATACCACATACATATATACCCACTAGCAAAAAAAAAAAAAAAAAAAAGAGAGAAAGGCTCGCCCACTGTATGAGGCACATGTGACTATAGGGCAAAAGTAGAAAGGATGCTGGCAGATGCCAAAGTCACCCCAAAAAGACACCTGGCTAGGCAGTTGGCTCTGCCACCAAGTCTTAATGAGCCCTTGCAAAGTAACTGTCCTTCCCTGGGCCTCAGTTTATCTTCCCATAATATGTCTGGGTTTGCTCCTTCTGGACCTTTATAGCTCTAAATGATTCTGCCTTGATAAGTAATATGTATTTTATCCCTTACAATTAGGGCTTAAGCCAGCAGGAAGGAAATTTCAATGAGCCTTCCACCTCAAACTAAAATTTCATTTTTATTGTGCATTTTAAAGTCACTGATGGAGTAGACTCTTGAACAAGGGAACGTGTCATCTTCTTGTCACACTTGCACAATGACTGGGCCTCCCAGTCACATTCTCAGTTGTTTCAAAAGCAGGGTTATGGAGCCCAAACAGATCCTGATATGTGTGTGAGACATGTACATATACTCATATACACACACACAGACACATCTGCTATCTGAGAGCCAACTTACCGGTCAGCATAGCGCAAGGTATTCAGAGTGTGTTCAGTGGCTACATGGCTTGGTGAGACATTGGCAATCATGCATGTTTTGGCATTGCCAATGAAAGAGTCCTTCAGGACCTGTTCAAAATAAAAGCAGATCAATGAATGAGCTCAACTAACAAAGGGCACATTGGCCATGACTTATGTGTAGGATGGTAAGCACAGTTCCCCTCTGTCCACAAAAAGGCAGTGTACAAAAGAAATACAAATGGCTGATAAACATAGAAAAAGGTACTCACCTCACCACTAATCAAAGAAATGCAAACAAATCATTAAAAACGATAAAAACTATTTTATACTTTACTTGTGAAGGTCTAGAGAAATGGGCTCTCCCCACAATGCCATGTACCATGAACCAGTAACAAGCTTTCTGGAGGACAGCTTGGCTAGACATACCAAAATGTAAAAAACATTAGCCAATATTTTGGCTTGGCAATCACACTGCTAGGACTTTATTCTAGGGAGATAATTACTCAACTGACCAAAAAATAAAGTACATACAGGGTAATCAATACATGCCTTATAATAATAAAATTAAGAAATAATCTAAGACTCTATAAACAAGGAACAAACAAAATAATTGGGAATTAATACAATACAGTCATGAAAAATGACAATGTATGTCCATACTTAGGAGTATGGAAAGATATTTAAAACAAATCTTTGAATGAAAAGGTATGTGATTATGTGGCAACAGGTATCACGGGGGTATGGGATTTTACGGAAACTTTTTTCTTGTTTTGTGGTACTTATATGTACTGTTGGAATTGTCATCTTTTAATTAAATAAGAACACATTTTCTGAGAACAAAAAACTTGTTTTAAAAAGTAACAATGCTGGGGGACCAGCAGTTAGCGTAATGGCTATGTCGCTGGACTCCCATGTAGTCGACCGCGGTTCGAGTCCTGGACCCGGTGGCTTAAACTCACGCCGGGCCCATGTGCGTGCGTGCCCAAGATCCCGAGAGGAGAATGGAGGAGAAGGGACTGTGGCGTGGCCATCCCCCCCTGGGGGGTGATTTCCTGCTTTCTGTCTCTCTCTCTTTGTCTGTCTGGCGAGCGCACGCACCCTATATCAAAACAAAACAAAACAAACAAACCTCTCCTAAATAAATAAATAAATAAAATAACAATGCTGGGGCCAGCAGGTGGCATGGTAGTTAAAGCATTGGATTCCCACATGGTTAACTGCGGTTTGAGTCCCAGACCTAGAGGCTTGCTTTCCTGCTTTCCCTTTCTTTCTCTGTCTGTTTCTCTGGTCATAATAAATAATAATGATGATAATAAAGTCTTCAAAGAGTTATTTTACTTAGGTTTATTTATTTATTTGTTTGTTTGTTTTTTAATTTATTTAAATTTGACCAGAGAGGGACAGAGAGAGAAAGGGAAAGTGAGAAAGCAAGCTGCCAGGCTCAGGACTGGAACCATGGTTGGCCATGTGGAAGTCTACCACCCTTAACCACCACGCTACCTCCCAGCCCCATAAATAAAATAATTCTTTTTTAAAAAAAAAAAGTTATGGTGACATTAGAATCAGGGCTAACCATTTCCTAAGAAGGGTTTCCTGAGTTCCTGGTTGAAAATATGTGTGAGGGGCCAGCAGGTGGTGTGGTGAGTAAAGCACTGGACTTGCACAAAATTAACTGTGGTTCAAGTCCCAGACTTGGCAGCATGAAACTCATGCTGGGTGCACATGCATACATACATGCCCAAAATTCCAGGAGGAGGATGGAGAAGAAGGGATTGTAGCATGGATATCCCCACTAGGGGTGATTTCTCACTTTCCCTCTCACTGTCTGTTTCTCTGGTGAGCCATTCATGCCGTATGGCAAAAACCTTTAAAAAAGTTTGAGAAGACACAATCTAACCCTTAGATGACGAATTCTGACTAGTAAGGAGCTGTGTTATTATAGGTATTGCCTGAGCCCTGCTAGTCTAGCTGCACAGAGTGAAACTCCTTCCATGGCTTCGTTCTGCAGCAGAGATCATCTCCTAGACCTCTTTCTACCTTGTCTATGCACATGACATGAAGCCAAAAAGAGCCAGGGCACCTATAACTGTCTTCCACAGCTGTCTGTACCTAGGCAGACCCCTCCCCATGACACTATTCTGTGGCACCTATGGATGCTGATTAAACATCTATTGGTATTTTCCAATAAAAGAGGTACATTTTTATGACAGAAGAATGAGAAAAAATTATTTATAGTTCCACCACTCAGAATAAGCACAGTAAACATTTGCACAATTTTTTGTACAGTTTTCTCTTATTCCATGTTTTTAATTTATAAAAACAATAAATGGTTATACTATATATAATCTTATAACACAAAAGTCACATTTCCATCCCACTGTTACTCTTTAGATGAATCCAATGCTTACGGTTTCTTTTATATTTTTTCAACTTTTTTTCATTCTGTGGTGGTTAAGGGTGCTGGACACTCCCACATGGCTGACCGCGATTTGAGTCCTGGACCTGGCAGCTTGCTTTCTCACTTTCCTTCTCTGTCTCTGTCACACTCTGTCCCTTTCTGGCCAAATTAAAATAAATAAATAAAGTTAAATAAAATAATTCTTTAAAAAAGTTTTTTTTAAAAAAAACAAAACAGGCTTGGACCAGCACTTAGCGCAATGGCTATGTTGCTGAACTCCCATGTAGCTGACCGCAGTTCGAGTCCTGGACTCGGTGGCTTAAACTCATGCCAGGTGTGTGCGTGTGCATGAAGGGATTGCGGTGTGGCCATCCCGACTGGGGGGTGATGTCTCGCTTTCTATCTCTCTCTGTCCTTCTGGTGAGTGCACGTGCCCTATAGCAAAAACCTCTCAAAAAAAAAAAAAAAAAGACAATCATGTTATTATGCTGTTCTCTAGCTTGCTTTATTATGTCATGATAGAGCTTGGTCATCTTCCTGTTAGCACATGTACAAATCTATCTCATTCTTTTTAACTGCAGCCATTATTTTTTGTAATTAAACACTGGTCTAAGTCTTACTACCAAGAAAGTAGCAAGTAAAGGTATACCACCATTTTCAAAGGCTCAAAAAACTATACTAAATCAGTAAAAATGCTTACACTGACAATAAACAGTGACAAGAGAGCTGTTATCATAGTAGGACCCTGGATCTCAGGTTCTGCAGGTTATCTCTGCCAGAGTCTACACTTCTCTAGAGCCCTAGCAGTCTGAGAGCCCCTGGAATGAATGCAACTCTCTTCCCTTCTCCATCCCCTTCCCCCACTATTCCTAACATCATGCTTTGCTGTCAGTAGATGTTCTACAGAAAGAAGACATGAACTGAAGAAGTAACAAATGAACTAGAACAAACTCAAAGCTCACATTTCACTTTACCTGAGTTAATTTGCTTTGCCTGAAGGGAGTATGGCTGTGTTCCTGATCCAGTGCTCGGATACATTCCTTCAGCTGCAAAGTCGGAGAATATTAAGCACATCAACTATCACACTTATTACTCTTTAAAGAGTAAAAGGGCCAGGACCAGCAGTTAGTGTAATGGCTATGTCGCTGGACTCCCATGTAGTCGACTGCGGTTCAAGTCCCGGACCCAGCGGCTTAAACTCACGCTGGGTGCGTGTGCGTGCATGCCCAAGATCCCGAGAGGAGAATGAAGGAGAAGGGATTGCGGAGTGGCCATCCCCTCTGGGGGGTGATTTCTCACTTTCTATCTCTCTGTCTCTCTCCGTCTGTCTGGCGAGCGCACGCACCCTATAGCAAAAACCTCTCCAAAAATAAAATAAATAAATAAATAATAAAGTAAAAAAAAAAAAAAAAAAAGCAAAGGGCCAAGGGCCAACAAGTGGCATGGTAGTTAAAGTGGCTGGATCCCACATTGTCAACTGCATGGTTCAAGTTTCAGACCAGGTGTCTTGGGAAACATGCCAGGGGTGTGTGTGTGTGTGTGTGTGTGTGTGTGTGTGTGTGCATGAATGCCCAAAATCCTGAAAAGGAGAGAAAATATGAAAGAGAAGGGAATGTGGTGTGACCACAATCCTCATCAAAGTGAGAAGAGTGCTTCCTCACCCCTCCTCCCTCGCCCCGGGCGAACATACACACTCTCTGACAAAATTTTAAAAATTAAATTAAATAAAATAATCTGGGATCAGCAGTTAGCGTAATGGCTATGTTGCTGGACTCCTATGTAGTCGACTGCGGTTTGCGTCCCGGACCCAGTGGCTTAAAAGCTCACGCCAGGCACATGTGCATGCGTGCCCAAGATCCCGAGAGGAGAATGGAGGAGAAGGGACTGTGGCGTGGCCATCACCCCTGGGGGGGGGTTGTGATTTCTCGCTTTCTGTCTCTCTGTCTGTCTGGTGAGTGCACGTGCCCTCTAGCAAAAACCTCTCCAAATAAATAAATAAATAAATAAATAAATTAAATTAAATAATCTAACCAGAGGAATGAAGGGGTTGGTTTGATTTTTCCATATGCTGATAACTGTCGAGATGGGTAACAGGTACATGGGAGTTCACTATACTATTTGTTCTACTTTAGTATAAAAAATTAATACAATTTTAAAACTTAGAGAGAAGGAAGATGCTTACCTAAGTATGCCACTCAGCAACTACACAAGTGCTTCTGTTCTTACAGGAACTAATAGCAGAGGACCAGAAAGCAGAGAGAGAAGAGTTGCCTAGAATTATAGAGTCCGACTGGACAGCCTCTACTCATCTCTTGGTATTTCACTGCTAGTTGAGAGCAAGTCCATTGCTCTGCTGATTCCACCCCACCTCACCTATTCTGGCTGCATGTAAAGTGCAAAATCTCTCAAGAAGGATTTTTAGCTTAAAGATTTTCAAGCAACTTACAGCCAGAAGACTCTGGTTTATTTCTGCACCTTCCATCTTTGTCTGTCTGTCCGAGTCCCTGGCATCTGCTGCTCTTTCACTGCCAGCCAAGTCAATAAAAGAGATCCTAGAGAAAAGATAGAGTGGGAATGACTTCTTTGGGGCCTTGGTTTACTTCTACACCAGACAGCATTTTGTGACCTTCAGGAAGAAAGTAACACTGGCTCATCATCAGGAAAGGAAAGATCTACTGTCAGCTTTGTAAAAGTATGGCAAGATTCTGATTTGTCAGCTGCTGCTGGTGCTGTTCAAACATTTCCTTTGGTTTTAATCATTTGTAAGAAAATATGACTGAAATTAATAACACATTCTTCCCATAAGACTAAATTACCACAATGCAAATCATTTGGTTGACCACTTAGATAATTAAATAGAAACTTTTGTGGGCTGCTTTCCAGGGAAGGGGGAAAGAGGGGAAAAAAAGGAAAGAAAGAAAGAAAAAAGATTCATTACTCAGAGGGGAGATAGGCTCATCAATCAGCATGGCAGAGAGTTTGCTAAGATAGCACCAGAGAAGCAATGAATGTATCCAATTGTCTTATGGCTTCTTTCAAGAAGAATGGATTAGTTCCCACCCCTAATCTTACCATCCACTTTTTTTTTTTTTTGGTATGGCTGGTAAACTCTCTGAGATGCATTCCCTACTGTTTCTCTGCTGACACTGTGTTTCATGTTAGAAGTAATCAATGTCCCTTTTAATAACTTAGGGTTGACCAACAATAGGTCATTACTTCATTGTTAATCAACTGATGGCACTTCAGTACAATGATTTATTTCAGGGCTAACAAATCTACTCTGTATTTGGAAATGAAGAAGTCCATGGTGGCAAGTGTCCTGTTGTTGATAACACATATTTCAAACTCACATTAAAGAAAGGCAGACAGTGCAATTCCCTGCATATTTCCAGCTCACCTGCCAAATGTTCTCTTGTCTGAATCTTTGATCTGAATTTGGATGATGGCATGGGAGCGGGAGGAATCTGAATTAACTCCAGTGGCCCCAGTGCTTCGCTCCTTGCTGCCCTTTAAGATCACCTGGAAAAAAATAATGCATATAGGATGACTTCTCCAAGGAGTAAACAAAGCCCTCTGGTTTCTAAGAGTTGGCTAAAAGCAGTAGAGACCAGACATGTAATTTTGTCAGTACACTGCAATTATTTTCTGTCCAGTAGAAAGCTGGCCAAACTCTGTATCATAGAGTACAGAGTAAGTACTCAATGGAAATGAAAACAATGTGGAATACTAATCTTGTGGGAGAACATTCAATAGCTCAAGAGCTAATTTACTTCTTGATCTCATATTCTTTTTAATATCTTTGATGGATTTTGCCTAACTAAAATCCCCAGAGCGTAACTTGGCTCCAAAGCAAGGTCTTGCAATATGCATCTATCTTAATAACTGAAGCAAAAGACAGAAACGTGCATCACGGAATGACAGCACATCCACTTGTTCTACCAAGATGCAGTCATAAAGGAGGCCAGGCTTGGGGTGTAGGAACATGGAAGTGATGAGTTATTGTAATTGTCATAAGCCCATAATTTCCCTTGAGACTAATTCCTTTCTATCCCCAATTGGGAGTAAAAAGTAACTGGGGTCCTTCTGGTCACAAGAAAAGGGAGGAGGTGAGGAGAAGCCTCAGGACTGGTCTCTAGCCACTGGTAAAACAAAAACAAAAACAAAAACATATATAGACATGCTGCACTGATTTCGGACAGGGGGAGAGTGTTGGTTACTAAGAATCAAAAAGACAAATATTTTAAAAATATTTGTCTCCTCACAAGATTCCTCACAAGAGCTATGTGAGATGATTATTATCCTCCATTTATAGATGAATGAACTCAGAGGTTGATTTGCTCATAGTTAAATAGCTATTGTGTGGCAGAGCAAAATTCTACATTCAGTATGTCTGACCCCCAGCATCTGTGTGGTTTCCACCACATTGTAGAACGCTTATGATAAATTCAATTATGGCTGAGCCACTGTGGCATGAGCTACAAAGATGCTGTGGTCCACAGGCTGGGATCATATGGGAGGCCTAGGTTTGACTCATGGTCCAATGTAAATGCTAGGCACTGTGGCACATACCTGTAAACCCAGTGATTCGGGGAGGCTGAGGCAAGAGGATCACGAGCTCAAGGCTGGTCTGGGCAAGTTAGGTAACCCTGTTTTAAATACAGCGAGAATGGTGGCAAGTACCTGAAGTCCCAGCTAGGAGGCTGAGGCAGGAGGATTATGACATGGCAGACATTGTCTTAAAAAACTTTATTTTGTAGTGATATTGGGCTGTTGGAAAAGTCATGACGTATTTTTCTATGTACAAATGTGTCATGACTTTTCCAGCAACCCAATATAAGGGTAAGGAATGTTCTCAATCTCTCAGAAGTTTAAGTTTATATAATAAACATAGCTATGTTTTTCAAATTAAGAGTCCAAAAGTTGACAAAGCCAACCTTCAACGATAAGCCATAAAATATGTTTTTTTCCCAATGGCGGTCTTTTATTGCATTTTAAAAATATCACGAATAGGTCTTAAAAATCATTTTGTTGCTGTAGCTAAATAACTCTTAGAACTGTTCCTTTTTCAGAGCTATAAGTGCCATTCAAAAAAATTTTCTGAGATTATGCTAGCAGGTGGTATGGAAGTTAAGGTGCTGGATGCCACGTGGCTAGCTACGTGACTGGTTCAAGTCCTGATCTGATGGCTTGAAAATCATGCTGGGCACATGTACATGTGTGCCCCAAATCCTGAGAGGAGACTGGAGAAGGGACTGTGGTGTGCTCATCCCCCTGGAGGGGCTGATTTCCCACTTTCTCACTCTGTCTCTGGTGAGCACATACACCCTACAGAAAAACTGAAAAAAAAAAATTCTGATATCCTTGTTTTTAACTATTGTGGCTTGATGAATCAAAGCAGCTTTTTAAATTTTTTAAATTTTTAAAAAATTTTAGTTTTTTGCCATAGGGCACATGTACTTGCCAGAGAGAGCAAGACAGACAGAGAAAAAGTGAGAAATCACACACCAGGGATGGCTACACCATAATCCCTTCTCCTCCATTATCCCCTTGGGATTTGGGGAATGTATGCACATGTGCCTGGTGTGAATTTCAAGGTACCAGGTCTGGGACTTGAACTGCGGTTGGCCAAGTGGGAGTCCAGCGCCTTAACTACCATGCCACCTGCTGGCCCCAGCTATTGATTAAAAAAAATTATCAGAGGCTATGTATGCTCACCAGAGAGAGGGAGAGAGAGGAGAAGAGAGAAATCACCCCTAAAAGGGGTATGGTCATACCACGCACATTTTTCTTCCATCTCTCCATTCTATTAGGATTTTGGGCACACATATATGCACCAATTAGAACCATGGCTGGCCATGTGACATCTGACTCCTTACACATAGAGCTTAACCACTGTGCTATGGGACTGGTCTTAAAGCATTGAATTGAAACAAGTTCACGTCATTTCCTTCAAAGATTAACTTGTCTTTTTAAGCAATACCAGGTCTCATCTAGACTCTGTAGAAGTATTTTTCACCCCTCAAATTTGGATTTCAACAAGAGATCCATTCTCCTGAATAAGACGATGGGGAAATAAGAATATACAGACCATCTTGTAATGGAAGCCCAGTTGAACACCCTTGATGATGTTCTACACACAGCTATAGGGGCCAGCAGGTGGCGTGATGGTTAAGGCACTGGACACTCCCACACAGCTATAGATAGTACAAACCATACCCAAAAAAAAAAGCCATTTGTCAAACCAGAGCCTCTTTTTTCTTTCCTAGGAGACTGAGTTCTACTTGATGTGACTGAAATCCCTCTGCAGGGTTCCTCTGGGGATCTTCATAATAATGTGCATCCCCCTTCAGAGTGATGTTGACATTTTCTGGAATGTTGAAGTGTAATTGCTAAGAATGGTCTTCATTTTGCAGTAGACTGAGCAGAGTGCAATCATAAAATAACAAGTAGAGGCAGGTGCATTTTTAAAAATTTGCTATAGGGTCTGTGCACTTGCCAGAGACAGACAGAAAGAGAGAAGGAGAGAGGGAAAGTGAGAAAGCACTCCCTAGTGGGACTGTCCACACCTCTACCATAATCCTATCTCCTTGATTCTCCTCTCAAGATTTTGTGCATGCAAGTGTACACACCCAGTGTGTTCTTTGAGCCACCAGGTCCAGGACTCAAACTATGTGGTCAGCCAGGAGGATCCAGCTGCCTTAAACACCATGCCACTGACTAATCCCAGATTAGGTATTTTTAAAAATTTAACTAAAAATGGGGACCAGAAGATGGCATAATGGTTATGTCATTGGACTCCCACGTAATCAACCATGGTTCAAGCCCTAGACCCAGAGGCTTGAAACTCACACCATGTGCATGTGTGTGTGTGTGCATGCCCAAGATCCTGAGAGGAGAATGGAAGAGAAGGGATTGTGGTGTGGCCATCACCACTAGAGGGTGATTTCTCGCTTTCTGTCTGTTGCTCCAGTGAGTGTACATGCCCTATAGCAAAAACCTCTCTCTCTAAAAAAACAAAACAAAACGAAAAACCAAATTAACTAAAAATAAGTTCTTCCATTAATGTCTAAGCAAAAGTGAGGTTAGTAGAGATTATCTGTATGTGAGATTAAAATGTTAGAATCACATTTAAATGCATTCATTTTGTAAAAATCTTGCTAAAAATTTAAAGCAACTATGTGATGCATCTTTTTGTAAAGGGAAGAATCGGCTAATTTATAAAGCTAGAGCATCAACTACATGGATAACAGGTTACTGCTGATCAGAAATAAGAAGAGTTAGGGTGACAATTCCTTGTGGTGGATATAGCAAAAGCTGAAGAAAAAAAAGCACTGCTAAGTCAGCTCAGATACTGGGTAAGACAGTTGAGGCTAACGCCGTGACTGAACCATCTGCTTAAATGCAACTCCTCATCTGGGTCTCTCCCTATCCTTCTCACTTCATGCTCACACAAGTTGTGATACAATGATGATAATCATCTTATATCTGTATTGTTCTTTTTAAAAACTTTTTTCTCCTTTATTAGAAAAGTGGGACCAGTCACAGTGGCATGGGCAATAAGAGTGCTGCTTGCAAAAAGCTGGAGGCCACGAGAAAAGGATCTGGGTTCACATCTAGAGTCTACCTCAACAATCTGGGTGTGAGACATGCTTTCTATGGAAAACTTAAATAGAAAAAGTATAAAGAAAAAAATTATAGGCCCAGCTGTGGTGGCACAGATAAGTAGGCCACTGCTATAGGATTTTGGAGCCATATGGATACTAACCATGCTGGGTAGGCCCATAATTCTGTCTGGCTGGGAGGCTGGGGAAGGATTGTGGTATGGTAGGAACCTGTTAAGGGCATCTATTTCCCAGGAAATAAGCTAAAAGAAATGAAGAAAAAATATATATCTCCCATAATCCCAGAGTTAATATTCTTGGGACCAGCAGATGGTGCAATGGTTACATCCCTGGACACTCACATAGTTGGCCACAGTCCTGGACTCAGTGGCTTAAATTCACGCTGGGTGCATGTGCCCAAAATCACAAGAGGAGACTGGAGGAGAAGGGATTGCAGTGTGGCCATCCCCACTGGGGGGTGATTTCTCCCTTTCTGTCTCTGTCTTTACTGTAAGCACACACATTCTATAACAAAAATCTCTCTTAAAAAAAAAATACGATTTTCATGCATTTCCTTCTAGACTTTTAGGTTTCTTGGAGCTCTTTTTCTTTTTTTCTTTTACACACTCGACAAAAAGACAGAGGAGGTCTTAAATCTTTGCACTTGTATAAGCAATATACTTGACAGATAAGGGAAGGAACACAGAAACTAAGTGACTTTTACATGAGATCATATAGGTAAATATGATCAGGCCAGGATAGAAGCCAGGTATCCTCTTCCACATGTGAGTAATGATATTACTTTTGCTGAGAATAGTGAGAGCTTGGAGAGGCCTCAAGGCTATCCCTAGCATAAAACTGTGAATATTGTCAGGAAGCTCAAAGGATGACCCTGTGGTTCATCCCCAGGGGAGTAGA